GCGTTGTTGGTGCCATTGGAGGCCGAGAGGGAGGACCGGCCATGACCACCAGTACCAAGGTTTGAGCCATGGCGCGCCTGGGAAGGTAATTACGCTGTTTGGGCCGCAGGGGATGCTCCACCGGAGTCTCAGATCTGTAAACACACTTCATTAATTTTTTTTATTTAATTACAAGTATAATTAAAAAAAAATTTAGAAGTAGATTTTTTTTCTTTTTTTTTTCCTACAAATCTCGTGTTTTTTTTTTCTTTGACATATTTCTCGCTGACAAATTTATTTTTCGGTCTAGATATTTTTCTTTTAATTTTTCTTTCATGTAACTTTTCTTTCTCTTTTTAAATATATCTTGATTTTTCTTTCGGTCTTAGTTCTTTTCTCATTATATTTTTTTCTTTCTTTACCTAATATATCTTTTGTCTCATCTTTTACTCTATTTTTCTAATTTTTTTTAATTTTCTTTTTAACCTTTCTCTCAATAAAACTTTTTGTCTTTAACTCTTTTTTTTTTGTTCTCTCTAAATTTTATCTTTAAGATATTATTTTATGTCCCTTTAAACTTTTATATTCATGTCATAAATGATAAAAATCCGAGTAGGATCGTATTCCTGCTCCAAGATAAAAAAATGCATTTTCTACTATGCCCCTAGTCTAATTTTTAAATAACTAATATATATTTTATTAAATTAGGAATAAAATATTAAACATTTTTAAAACATATTATTCATAATTGTAAATAATATTTTTCAATAAAATAAATATAATTTTTAATTTAAAATCATTAAAATTAATTACTGAACCTATAATTTCCGATGCGAACCCTAACACCAAATGAGGACTCCTCGACTTGGACCTCAATTTTCAGAATTAGAGAATGAGGTGAAGAAAGAGACTAAAAATTTATGTGAGAACGAGAATGGCGAAGGCAACCCGACTTCCTCCCACACTGTTATCATTTCTACGATACATAATTCTTTCTTACTCTAGCATATCTCTACAACCACATAACTTTTTAAAAATAGAAAACAAAAAGTAATTAGGTTTGGTTTTCTGTTTAAAAAAAACATATTTACCACCTAATTTATTTGCCTAATACTCACATTAACACTAGTATATGTATTTTTTTTAGTACAACATCTGGGGCGAAAGATCGAACTCACAATCTCTTGATATATCAATTATCGCCTCCTATTGAACTATACTCACTTTGACAACACAATACATCTACTTAAAACCATGTCGTCAAGAATTAAAAGCAATATAAAAACTACAATAAACATTTTTTAAAATCACTGACTGAAATGTAACCACCTAATTATGCTTCTCATTTTCTATTTTTAATAAATAAAAATAAAATTACTTTGGTAACTACTTCTTATTCTTTTATTTTTATAAAAAAACCAAAGATATATTTGGAACCAAAACAAAAAATGAGATTTAAACCTTTTTAATTTATTTGCTTTACAACTCTTCTGATATTTTGAAAGTTAATATTACTTTTTTTTCCCCTCATAAACAAATGCATTTAACTTTATTGTGTAGAAATGTCCCAAAATTGTATAAAATTTTGAGAAAATCCTTTTCTTTTTTGGCTTTTTCCAGATAAAAATTATTATTCCGTCATTTTAAGCTTATAAAATATAATAAATATTACAAAATTTAAATCTATCCTAATATATTTGAATATTATATTAAAAAAATCATTTCAAGTAAAATTCAAACATATTTTTTTCCTCTTAAAAAGCATAAAACAAAAACCAAGAGAACGACAAGTCATACACGGGTCATCTAAAACTCAATTCAAAACTATATACATGTCCAAATCCATGCATATCCAAAACCATGCATTCTCAATTTTTAGTTCTAAAATCTATTTTCTCAAAAAAAAAAATCAAGATAAAAAAAGCTTAATAAAAAGCAAAATTAAAATAAAATAAAATATACCTTAGTGGTGTTTTTGTTTCTAGTTTCCAATTTTCTTGAGAAATCTAAGCATTTTACAATTAATTATGTTTCTTGTTTTCTTGTTTTTGAGGACATTCTCAAAACTGTATAGAAATTTTGGAAACAATCAAAACAAATTTCTTCCTTATTGTTATCATTTTCAATTTGTTCCAAAACATAAATAAAATGGTGATTTTATCATATTTGAAATCATAAATCTTGAAGTGATGCAATTTATTCTTCTCTATTAAAAATGAAATAACAGAAACAAGAAACATAAACGTTACCAATAGAGTCCTAATATTCTAATTTATTGTTTCTTGTTTCCTCTTTTTTAATCAAGAAAAACATAATTGTGTTTGTTAATAGTTTTTTGTTACTTGGCTTAGTAATCCTTTCTTACTTTTTTTTTCATTCTCTAAACTTTTTTTAAAAAAAGTATAAATTTTATGTGAAAATTAAAATTTCAGATTAAATATTCAAAATTTCTTATTTATGTTTTGGGAAAAATTGAAAATAATAAAAAAGAAGAGGAAAAAAAACTCGATTTTGATTTTTTTTAGTACAACAAAAACTCGATTTTGTTATTTCCAAAATTTTTACCCAATTTTGGAAACGTTTCTGGAAAATGAGAAACGAGAAACATAGATCATTATCAAATGCTTCTGCTTCTAAAAAATTAGAAATGAGAAACAAGAAACGAGAGAACGTTATCAAACAAGTTTTTAAAAATTCTCCTTTCTTCCTCACTGCCCATCCTCATTCAAGGGCAATTTAGACTTTTTCTAAAAGAATCTAAAGAAAAAATTGGGGAGTATAGTGGGAAAATAAGATGATGAAGAAAACATAAAGAGGGAAGAAAGAACTTACAATAGTAAGAAGCATCCATTTGGTAGCCCAATGGGAGTCTATAATTGCCATCAAGAGTGGAGCCATTTGAGGGTGGATAGAACATTGGCTGATTAAGTAGATCAGGGAAATAGCTTCCAATGAAGCCTTGATCAGCTCCATCTTGATTCTCTCTCCCCACTCTCACCTCATGAATCATGTCATCAAATACCCTCTTTGAAGGCTTCATCAAAATTCAACCAACACCCGTTCAAATTCAAGTTATACGCTACCATAAAATGGTTTGATCGACCTCTCAAATATTGTTTGAGGTTACCTGGAGAACGAAGAGGCCGGTGTGGAAGATGCAGGGGTTGATGAAGACAGCACAGAACTGGCCGCATTGGAAGAGCTCGTCGGTTTTCTGGAGGAAGAGATTGTCAGAGTCCAACATCACCACCCTGTCGTAGTCTACCAAGCTCCATGCGTATAGCTTGTTCAGTGTCAGCTTGAACCTCTTGTCGAAGTTCGACTGGTTCCTATATGGGTTGTTCACGTTGTCTACACTCACCACCTTCGCTCCATCTTCTTGCTCCCTATGGTTGAAATTAATTCATTAAATGGATAACAATTTAGGATAAATTATATGTACTAGGTAAAATAAGTGGTCTAATTAGAGCCCATAAACTTCCTATTTGTGGTGTGGCCCGCTGGGCAAATAACAGCCTGTTGATTCTAGGAGATTATGGGAAACCCTATAATCAACTTGTAAATATGGGGTTATGGTCCCCAATATACCATGTTCCTTAAGTCTCATATTTCCCATCTAATAGGGAGTATTGCCCATCTTTAGTTTAAGGAAGACCCAAACCACGCAGATATTGCAATTTGGAATCTCAACGCACTCCAATTCATGGATCCAGGTAATTTAAAATAACTTATAGTTTTTTTGGCCTACTCCTATGCATAGATCCTATATCAAGTTTTGTTTTCTAACACCTATGCCCCCACCAACACAAATGCAATAGCTTTCGTTATAATTCAACCAACAAAACACTCAAAATCAAGTTATAGAAATGCCTCTAAACTCAATCATGAAAATATTCAAATCTTACCACAAAGTCTTGAACCCACTAATAAGTCACGTAAAATTCAATCAATACAATGGATTTTTTTTAAAAAAAAAAACAAGCATAAAAATGTCCAAACCTAGCAATAAAATCGTATGTCGTATATGGGTAAAAGTACACGCATGTAGCAACCAAACACTCAAATCCAGCCTCAAAATGACACACATATATAAATATTCTATCCAAACCACATGAATGCTTACAAATAAGATAGAAACTTAAGTATATAAATCTTACAAATTTAATTAATCAAATAAATCAAGTACTTAGAATAAAAGAAAATTAAAAATTAAAAATTAAAAATTAAAAATATCCTTGGTCAAAAACGTCAAACAAAAGGTTGGTGAAGGGAAAAAGTCTTGTTTCTTTCAAACTCGTGTAATGGACTTCTTCACCATAACTCTATTTTTGACATTATCCAAATAAATTAAATATTTAAAAAATAAAATAAAAGAAGAAAACAGAGAGAAAAAAAAAGGTAGAGGAGAAAATTTTGTTTGGTTGTATCTTTCAAAAGTCTTTGTTCTAATAGTGTAGATAAACGACCCCATCAACTATTCTCTCCTATCGTTTTCAATCAAATCTTTTTATTTTCAGACCAAAAACAGTGGATAGGAACATTTTCTCCTGATGCATGTTCAAAATAAATCTTTGAACATTTTATTTATTTATTATTTGAAAAATAGAAGAGAAAAGAAAAAATAAGGGTAGATAGGAGAGTTATCGGGGCGTGACCCCGACCAATCCCTCGCTTGCCATTTCATTACCCGTGCAGAATTTTGCAAGGATCGGGGCAGGGATTCGGCATTTATTTCCTTTTTCTTTAAGAAAATCTAAATTAAAAGTTAACTGTTTAGGATAAATCTTCATTCGAATAGAGAAAAATTGTTAGGAAATAATGATAATAATACAAGCCGACCTCTGGTTTTTCAAAGCACAAAAACAAGACGTAATTTGACAGTTCACAATAACTTTCAGCCGTCCACTATGAGGGTCATTGTCATTACCATTCAAAATGATAAGATTAAGAAACCCATTATAAGAAATAATTTGAAATATAAATTCAATCTTATTTTCATTCCTAAGCCTCCTATCACCTGAATTTTACCTCGTAATGAAAAGTTTGTATCTTGTTAAGAAAAAAGATAGGAAAAAAAGTCAGATTCGAGTCAAATTTATGCTAAAACCAACTAAAATAGACAACAATATCAAATCCCTTAAAAAAAAAATTATTAACCGAACAATCAAACTGACAAAATCAACCACCAAATTAACCGACTCGAGTCAAAAACTCCCGTTAGTTTTTATATTTTGACTAACACCTATATTATCATTAAACTCGTAAGATTATAATATTATGGACAAGACGACTCCTATATAACTTAAAATTCCCAATTCGTCCTTATTTTCTTCACTTATTCCAATGACTTTACAGGGGTTCTTTTGCAATTAGTTTTTCAAGTGGATTATTTAATACAAAACTTCACGTATCTTTTATTCATTCTTTTTAAATATGAGATTTAATAATATCAAATCTTAAAATATACTTAAAGAAATTTTTAAAAAAAAATTGAAGACGGTATTAAAGTTGAGAAACTAAGTACAAACAATAAAATATAATGTAAACATAAATTATTTGACTAATCCCACTAACATTAATAAAAGGTAATGATGACAAAACCAAAAACCAAAGCCAACAAGAAGCTTCTGCGACCCCTACAAAGTTTGATTCCCACGATGCAATTCCGCATTAACAATACGGCATATGCTCCCCTTACAACACTTTATCCTAAACATTTATTATTAAAAGTAAAAAATATATAATAATAAATAAATAGGTAAAGAAATTATCCATCCTTCCCATTGACAAATCTTACCTAATCTCGAGAAAATTATTTTAAGATTACCTACAATTTGAACCTATTTCCTCTGAGCCTTATATTTTTTTATTGACCTCAATATGTGATGGTTAACTTTGACGGTATTTATAGCTCTTGAATTATCTAACTTAAGACTGGGAGAGTCTACCTAAAAACCTACTTAAATTAAAACCTTGTAAATCAAGTAGAACTCAAACTTTTAAAACTCTTTTTTTTTCCTCCACCAACTAGAAATAATAAACTACACAAACCTAAACTTGTCAAATGATGAATCAAATATCCTTCCCCACTCATAATGATATAAAGAGATAATAAATAAATAAAATAAAGACTATTCCAATATAAATTTCATAGCCTAAATAAGGATTTGGTAGGTTGGAAGATATCTATCAAGATCCTAGATTAAGCACAATTAAGAAATTAATAACTTTTAGCGCATTTTTACTCATTACTTATTTTTCAAAAAAAAAAATTTGATGTTTTTGGTATCTATTTCTTGTTTATGGTTATTTTTTGAAAAGAGAAACAAAACATATATTATAATCCTTTCTTGTTTCTTATAAAAAAAAAGTACTAATTTTACATAAAATTTAAATTTTAAAAATTATATATTTTTTATATTTATTATATATTTTATAAATTAATAATGATAAAATAATGTTTCTATATATATTTTAGAGAAAAAGAACAATAAATTTGATTTTATTTGAAAACGTTTCTTACAAGAAATGGAAATAACTATCAAATTCTTATATATTTCTAAAAATTTACCAACAAAAAATAGAAAAATATTAAAACCTCTATTGTCTGGTGTAAGTGGACAAAAGTTGATGGGAAATTAGAAAGGTAAGCTACAAACACAATGTTGGGACAGAGTGGGACCCCACTGCATCAAATTTACAAGAACAACAAATAAGACAAAAAAAATCCATAATATTTTTTTTATATCACAATATTGTATGATAAGACCTATCTAATAATTAATTTTCTATGTATTTTTTCTTATAAATCACCATTTATATTACAGAAGTTGAAATATTGATTTGGGAGGTAAATAAGATATTATAAATTCATGTAAGATCTCTTCTTTTATTATTGTGGAAGACTCTGATATCGTATCAATATTCATGGATTCCATCTCAAAACAAATTGATAATGAAATGAGTAATTCATATCTATTATAAACCCATGTAAGGTCCCTTCTTTTTATCAATGTGGGATACTTTACATATTCCACAATTGTCACGTAAAATTAGTCGACATATGTATAAATTGGTTCAGATATTTACAATATTAGAAAAAATAGTAAAGAAAAAGAAAAAGAGAGGATATCGAGGAAAATGGGCCAAGGCTTATCTGTTAAGAAGGCGCATATGTATTGATTAATTACTATTTACTACCACACAAACGACAATCACCTAAAGTCACTCACATGCTTTTTTGGTACACCTTTCCCAGCCAATGCATGATCCTCTTTCATCCTTTAGATCATCCACGTGTCCTCCATCTGTACCGCCACATCACTCCCTATAATTCTATACTCCAAATTCCAACGCCCTCCTACCATACCATGCCTTCTAAAACCACGACCCCGCTGTTTTTGGCCAAACAACCTCTATTAAATTAATGATTTAAATTCTATTTTTTTCTCTATAACATTTTTTATTTACGTGATAATAAATTAGTATTTCTCATGTAGCTGATTATGTTAATCAGTGGACTGAAAAAGAAAGGAAAAATACTTAATTTATTAACTATAATTAAAAATTTTGTTCTCATCACTATTGAAAAATTGACCACTTATGATTCATTTAGTAACATTTTCATTTTTTCTATCTATTTTTTATTTTTTTTAAGAAATCTAAACATTTTATAACTATATCTTTTGGTTCTCCGGTATAAAAAATTTGGAAATAATTCAAACAAATTTATTTTCCTTGTTCCTATTTTCAATTTGTTGAAAAACATGAATAAAAAAATTATTTTGTCATATTTAAATTTATGAATATTGAGATCATGAAAGGAAGAAAAAGAAATAAAAAATACAAACTTTACAAAATCTCATGAATTTTAATAAAAAGATTATTTTTACATTTTTCCATCTTGTCAAATATTTAGTCAAGGATACAATTACTTCCCAAAGTGTTTTCCAAAAGAAAATTTAGTAGGAACCGAGGAAGGCTAGTTTACAAAAGTACCATAATTTTTTCCGCTATTATATTAAGACTTATATTGAATAAACAATATGGATGGATAAATTATAAATTAATAATCTTATTTTTCTGACTCGACGACGGAAACCCCAAATTGGCCGGCCGCCGGCCGTGGGCCGGTACCGGAGACAGAGAGAGAGGG